ATTGAAGAAGAAAAAATGTAGGACACCATTAAAGGGATATTTCACATTGAAATTAATTTTTCACATGTTTTATCTTACCTCAAGGGCATCCAAGATGTAGCTGTCTTTGTTTCCGCAGTATTTTCAAATTTTGATATTTTTAGGTCAAACTGTTCTTGTCTGTCAGTCATATAATGGAGGTCTATGGTCACCACCTCAAAGAGCATGCACAGAGAAGTCCAGATTAAACATGATTTAATGACTCATAATTGTAAGTACACATTGATGGCCTAAGACTCGAAACGAGCGGTTTGTGTGAGAAAACGAACAGTATTTATATCGTTTTTACCTCTTGTAATCACAGCCACGTCCAAGTACTATGGGGGCGAGGGCGATTCGGTCTGCACAAGCGCCGGTAGTGATCTCTCGCGCGTGAAGGACAACACTTCTGAAATCTCTGTGTAAACAATGAGTGACGTACACGTGCGAGAGATAACTTCCGGGGCTTTCCGGCACTTGCGCAGATAGAAGCGCCCTCGCCCCCATAGTACTTGGACGTGGCTGTGTTTACAAAAGGGGAAAACGATATAAATACTGTTCGTTTTCTCACACAAACCACTCGTTTCGTGTCTTAGGCCATCAATGTGTACTTACATTTTTGAATCATTCAATCATCTTTAATCTGGACTTCTCTGTGCATGCTCTTTGAGGTGGTGACCATAGACCTCCATTATATGACTGACAGACAAGAACGGTTTGACCTAAAAATATCAAAATTGAAAATACTGTGGAAAGAAAGACACCTACATCTTGGATGCCCTTGAGGTAAGCTAAAACATTTAAAAAATGTATTTCAAAGTGAACTATCCCTTTAAGTGTGACTTAGGGGCAATGATGATTTTTTTTTTTTTTTTTTAAATAGCCCTTTATAGTTACCAATGGCATGCTTATGAAGGCCATAAAATCACATATTTCTAAGATAATCGATTCAAACTGAAGTAATACAACTTCAAGGATGTCGGCAGTTATGAAGATTCTCCATTTTGAATGCGCAGAGCCGTCTGAACAGCACATGAACTCCACATAGTTTCTCACAGTCTGTATCTGCGAGGCAGGTTCCCTGACCTGTAAAGATCAAAGCCTTCCTCACTCAAATACAGGGCAGAATGTTTTATAGAGGAGGATGGTCATAAAAATCCTCAGGCCTTTCAATTAAACAAGAATCTGTGGCCTCAACGTTCCTGAAAAAAAAGAAGCTACCACAACTGAAGACTTATACAATTGAGCATGTTGATACACAATCACTTTCAGCAGAAGCCATAAAGTAAACCACGCAAGAACAGACTCACCAGACACAGGTATTTCTTAAATAATTTAATTGCAAAAGGGTTTTTTTAAAAATATTTCTACAAGAATGCATTATTTAATCGCTGTTTTTTGTCTTCACCATTAAATACATCTCAATGCTTTCCAAAAACAAAACAAAAAAAGAACAAGAAAAGAAAATATCTTGAAATGTGTCTTGCTTCTCTCAATATAAGTACAGCACTCAGCAGACATTTTCCTTCTTGAACGTCAGTGGTTTGCGATGTGATGAGAAGACCGTTTCAACTGCTTGGAAAGAAAAAAGTTTTTTTGTTTTTTGTTTTTTTGCTTGATTTTTAATATAAGAGAGTAACTTTGAAACTCCGGTGCTGGGGGGGGGGGGATGTCACAGAGGAACAGGAGTGGAGGGAAGAGAAAGAGAGAGTCCGAGAGATTGGCACAGAGTTACTGAACAAAAATCATGCAAGTTGTGTTCCAAAACTGCTGCGATAAAAAACAATGACAATAGCACCTTACCTAAATACAGTCATACGTACAAACACACACACACACACACACACACACACACACACTCAAATCCAGTTAAGAGAGAATATACTGTCAGACATGATGAAAAGCAGCTACGTTCAGTTCCCGGGCGGCTCTGTGAGTTAGTAGCAGTGCAAGACAGGAACTTTAAGGAACAGGGTTCATATACATCAAGATCAAAAAAGATAATGTCTGTCATCATAAAATCGCTTCAGAGTGTTATATTACATGGGACTCTTGTAATTGAGAAAAAGAGGGAACCCTTAAATGATTTGTGAACTTATGAAACAAAACCACAAACAGAGGAGTACTGTCCAGAGTATATACCATTTGCCCAAAGTGCAACGTATTCCTATTCTAGATACAGATTTTAGTAATAACATTCTGAATTAGCTTCTAGCTTTACTTCTTAACCCATCAGATATGCTACCGTTTTGCATATTGTACGTCTTTCCTGTTTGAAGTGGGGCCGTGAAGACCGGGCTGTAAAAATGAATGCGCTTTATCTAATCAAAAATATATATATATATATAAAAATTTGGCAACAGATTACAAGCAATATTATTAATTAAATGTAACAATAGAATTGAGTAATAATTAATCAAACACTAAAAATATTGATGGTTTAACTTAAAAAATAACCTGGTTGCCTCAAAATTTTAAGTTCATTAAACTGGAAAAAGTGAGTTAATACAATGAAGGAGAATGATTTAATCATCAGAAACTCAAAATTATATGTTATCTGAACTAAATAAATTATTTAAGTTGATTTGACAAAAGAAAAAATGTTATGATTACTACACTGTAAAAAAAATATTGTTGGTTTAACTTAAAAAAGTAAATAACCTGAAGTTGATTGAACTGGAAAAAGTGAGTTAATACAATGAAGGAGATTAATTTAATCATCAGAAACTCAACTAAATAAATTATTATAAAGTTGATTTGACGAAAGAAAATATGATAACAAATCTTGAAAATATTGTTTTACAGTTAATTAATTCATTTAAACGTTAACCATTTAAAATGAGTAAAACTTTCTTTAAAAAGTATGTTTAAGTCACCATTGTGGTGATCAGTGTTTGTTTTAGGTTTGTTTTAAAATGATGGTTTTCTCCTTCAACATCAGGTGTCTTCAATGTTGGCAATATAAAATAAAGATAATGTAAAATAATTATTACTCAATTCTAATTTGTTCAATTTAATGAATAATATTGCTTGTAATCTGTTGCCACAATTTCATTGATTAGATAAAGCATATTCATTTTTACAGTGTATTTGCCAAGAAAAAGATGAACGAGGTGAAGGCTTAAAAAAAAAAAGTGGAATACTAACCGACAGTTTCAGGAAGTATAACGAATCCTGCCGCCGGCAGAGCATTAACATGAATTTCCATTGTAACTGAAGATCTCATTTGAAAACACCCCCGGAAATCCTGTAATTCCAAAAATATGATTTCTAGAAATTACCGAAACGCTTGGCGAGTGAGCTTTTACAAAAGAATGTGTTTAAGCATTGGTACTAACAGTTTCTCTTTGTGGTGATGACGGAAAGGCTTAGCTTTAATATTGAAGAGATTTACTAGGGATCTGCCCAACATTGATGAGATGTTCAACACCTCTATTCATTTCTCTTAAACCATTTTCAATGCACTTCCTCTTCAACAAAGAAACATCATGATGTCATTCCAAAATCGTTTGTTGTTGTTGCATGTCTCTTTTTAAATGTCAGCATACACTGTAAAAAAAATAATTTAATTCAATCAACTTGAATTTTAAGTACAATCAACTTGGATGTTTAAGTCATTTAAACTTAAATTGCATTAATCTTACTTTAAAAAGTTAATCAATGTCAAAACATATGTTGATAATATCATATTTTTACAGTGTATACTGCTTCAAATTTATATCAATCATTCCTTTTGGCCTCTTGGGATATGTTACAATAAAATAAAATAAAAAATCCTAATAAATTGGTATTTCTCCACATAATATCACCGATTCGTAAGTAATGACATATCATATAACTGGAGCTCCTCACAAATTGGTTCATGCATTTTGTGCATTGAAATGTTCATCTACAGAATTTGTATGCATAATCCTTATACTCTCCCTTTGTTTTATACACATACACACAGAGAGAAACACACACACACACACACACTACAACATAGTCATTCTGACACGTACACACACTCATTTTAGAGATGGTCAGTGATTAGCACTGTTTTTACACTGAAAGTATTTTGTCTTGTTTTCCAGGAAACAGTCTTAAAGCAAGATACATTTACTTGAGAAACAAAACAGTATTCATTAGATTTGTTTGCTAACCCAATTGACAATTATTTTACGTTTTAATCATATGTTTATAAAAAAAAAAAGAAATAGATATCTTCTCTGGAAAAATAAAAAAAAGTTAATATATTGCACCATTTTGTAATCTTTTGTAAGGATGCTTAGATATTTTTTCCTGGAAAAAGACAAATATATTGATTTAAAATTATGGTTACACTTTATTTTACAGTACATGTACTTACAGTGTACTTACCTAAAAAAAAGTACTGGTAATATAAGGTAACTACATGGGTTTAGTGGTAGGTCCAGGCTTAGTGCCTAGTTATTACCCAGTTATTGTAATTGCTATAATAAGTACATAGTATGTACATGCGGAACGGGACTGTAAAATAAAGTGCTACCAAATTTACGTATCGCAGTGTTTTACAAGTTATCACAGTCCTTCTCTTTTCTAACTGCTAAAAAAATCCTGATATAATGGTTAATGACCAGCTAAATGTCAACCCATCGTGGAACAGAAACTAAACAGGGAAAACAACAAAAGAGAATAAAAAAAAGTGAAATTGTGAAAGCTGAACTACGAAAAGCATCCTGAGTTCACCAGGCATATTCTGAGAAGTCCTTTTGTCAGTTTAAACCTGGTGGACAAATGCAACTTCCTCAAATCCGGTCCTGCGACATCCGTGATCTTTCGCCCTCGGCTGTGCCTCTCCCTCCTGTCCGTTTGAGGCATGTGCCCTTAAATAAAACACCTTCAATATGAAGATGGTGAATAAGCACAAAATCACACGCACAATAGAACATCTGCTAGCACTGGAGGGATTCGTGTCCACACGCTTTGTGGATTTATATTCACTTTTAGTTTGTTTTTTTGTCTTTATATTCAAGTTATGCGTACTATTAGAGTTTCTCTTCCATAAGCAATGTCCGTCCTTCCAGGAGAGTCTGTCCCTCAGAGTCAGTTTCAGGGAGAAATGCATTATGGGAGGCTTTAGAGATTGGGCGAATCCCAGCCAGCCGCGCAAAAGAAAGTATCACACGCACGCATGCAATCGCCAATCCAATACCGGAGCCTCGCAAGGCAGGCGTTGGGATATGGGCTTTCCTCTCCGTTCTTAAAAATAAGTACAAAATAATCTTATCTAATCCTGTCGGGTGTAAAATAATGCAGTCGTTACAGGAAAACGGGGAAAATGGAAAAGAAAAAGTTGTCCGAGGCACTGCAAGCCAGTTTCATCTGATTAGTGGAGATGATCAGGCATCTAGGGTCGTCTGTTAGCTCTCTGTAGAACAGTTCCACCCCCTTTTCAGACCTGGACGGGCAGCGTTTGGTTCATTTGCAGTCTCATGTCTTGAATGCTGCCGAGAATCTTCTTTTGGTGCCCAGCTAATGTCACACCTATCCGTAACAGATCTCTGTAGAAGACAGCAACAAAATGAATACTTAATAACAAAGTGGTTTCTAAAAGAGAGAAAGTAAGTCATTCAACCAATAAACTCCCATGGGAATGTAGCCAGGTGAGCAAATCCCTTTAGCAAATTGTTACTAGGTTGAGCAAATAGAAGAACCCCACCCTTTGGCTGCTAAACTGAGACAGCTTTGTGGTGCTAAGCCACTTCTCAAACTTGAGATAGTTCAAGCGTTGGTCAATGATTTGCAAGGGTTTGCACCTAGGGCTACCAGATGTCAAATTTCACATGGAGAAAGAGTAATTAGTGTTACCACAGACATGACTTGGAATGATATTTCACTGTGCAACAGACAGCAGTCTTTATACTGTAGAATGAGCGTGGTGTAAAGGTTACCACAGGCTTTATGATAAAAATGCTTCCTGTTGCTTAAATGGTAATCTAATCCCTTCGTGAGGTTTTAGTTTACACAGCAACATGTGCAGTTAAAGGCTAGCATAGAAACGTCATTTACTTTTTTTTTTCACCTTCCGATAAGAGAAGGCCTGGAAGAGGACAGACGTTGTCAGGGAGCAACCAGCGCCGTGGCGGCCCCCAGTCTGTCTGCCCTTCTCATCTCTACAATCGCACAACATTAGCAGAGTAATTTCACACAATGTAAAAGTGTTTTTCTCTCTTTTTCCTCTGTTGGTTCCATCAAGCCAACAACGTTGGATAAAATGATAATAAATGGAGCCCATTAGGAGAATTACTAGTCATTAAGAGCACAAGAAAACCACCGACTGGTACACCTGTCAAGTTGCCAAATTGAAACAAATTACCCCTGCCTCCATCCTTTATTACAATTTAATGGGCGTAATGAATTTATTATATTTTTTCTTTATTCGTTTATTTGATCCCAACTGCTCTCTTCGCATCTGTCAAGACATTTAACTTAGTTACAAATCGTGCAACCTTTGTAGGATTCTCTGTTCGTGAAATTATTTTTGAGAATGAAATGTTAGAGTAAATTAAAGCGAGACGAGGAGAATAATTGGATGCTCAAAAGCTATATCACTAACCCCATTCTGATCATTAAAATATTGATTTTTGTCTCTTTAATTGCCTATTGAAGTTCTGTTTTTACACTTGGTTCGAATGCTTGGTCTGAAACACAGTTCGATTCCATGCAGTTGGCTCAAGTCCATGCCACAAGCTCTGTTATAAAATCATCCTTTCCAGCAAACAAATTTAAGTTCTGGGAACGTTAGTTTTTGGTTCCCAGAACGTTCCTAGAACTTTCCCTTAAGGTTAAGGGAACGTTCCCGGAACATTCTCCTTACGTGGCACCAGGAAATGGTCCAGTATCTCTCCGGTGTTAGCTTCTCTGCATTGGCTTCCCGTTGAGTATAGAGTGCAATTCAAGGTCCTTTTAATGGTTTTTAAAGGTCTACATGGGGTCGCCCCTCTTTATATTTCGAGTTTGTTACAGCAGCATGTTGCGGCTAGACCACTTAGATCTTCGCAAAGCTTTACTTTAAATGTACCAAGAGCTCGGTTAAAAACCAAGGGAGATCGTGCGTTGTACATAAGATCTTGTGATTCCATCGAGTGCTTTAAGTCTAGGTTAAAGACCTATCTTTTCTCGGTTGCTTTTAACTGCTCTTAGTTATATGTGTATTTGTCTAATTGTTGTGTACAGTTGGGTCTGTAAAGCACTTATACTCGTGTTGTTTTTAAATGTGCTCTAGAAATAAAAATGATTTGATTTGTTTTGATTTACATTATAAAAGTAGAACCTAAAAATAACCTACATGGAACGTTCCTATAACGTTCTTGTTTGGTTCCCAAAAAAATAACCTCATGGGACCATTCGGGAACGTTAGGGGAACGTTCTGTGTTGGCTGGGTTACTCCTTACTGGAACCATTAAAAGTAGCATACAAATAAAATTTGAAAGAGAGCACAGTGCCCTGAATTCGGACTGATGTAGGACCACCAAAACAAAGAGGAGCATTCCAACAATTGGTCCAAACACTCACTCTGCAGTCATTTGGGCCACCAAGTCAAAAGAAGCAAAGCCAGCATTGAGAAAGTTGTCTCGGTAGCGGCTCATCTTGATGGCATCCAGCCAGTCGCCCACAGTGGTGAAGGTGGTGTAGTCAGGCACACAGCGGTCGAGGAGCGGCTGGGAGGCCCTACAGAGAAAGAGAGGAGTGGAGATAAAAAGAGAGAGAGAGGGTTAGGTCACGCCAGGCCTCCACCACCAAAACCTCACCCCCAAACCCCCCACCATCACCACCTCTCCTGGCCTGTAGGGCCTGGACCTGCCACTGTGGCCTACTGGCTGGAGACCTCCAAGAGAGAACTTCGAGGAACCTGTGGGTGTGGGTCCAGGACCCAGGTCCATATGAAAAAGCACTTTTCTGCTCTTAATATTTGTTGCCTAACATCTATTGACACTTGATATGCTGCAACTCTACATTAATTGTATTTTCTGATTCTATATTCCTCTAGAAATCACTTTTTGCTTATGCAGCACTCATATTGTGATCTATTTGGGCAAATCATGCTTACCTGCATGGAAGCAAACAAGATCCTTCTTGCACTTTAGCACAACCATATTTAATGTCATGCACAAAAGCAGCCATTTTAAATAATATTAGACAAAATCCACCGAGACCAGACTTGATCTATGCCCAGACTGGGGTCTTAATAACGAACAATGATGTCTGGGCAGTGGGGATTGGGAGGCAAAGTTTCAGAGCAAAGACACAAGCTCTCTGCTCTGCTGAACCTAGCTGTCTTTTGATGGCATTAGATTAATTAACAATTAAAAGCATAAGAAAAAAAAAGTTAATAAGAATGGAACAGAGGCTCTATTGAAGACAAGGTCTGTAGATGGATGGGAAGAGTGATTTTTAATAAGCTCCTGCCTTTAGGGCTGAAGGGTTTGTGGTCATTAACCTGGAAGGCAGCTTTCCTTAATGGAGCATTGTTAAAGCTGGCCTGGCTCTCACGTCTTCGGGACGTTGACTTTAAGTTCAACTGTACGAGAAAACCAAAAGGATAAATGTCCATGCATAACTAACCTAACTCAAAACTGAGAACAATTATTAACTAAATGAACTTTTCTACACAAAGTTGCAACAATAGGAACCCTCTCTCCCTCTTTCATTAAGCTCAGCAGGCAGGCCACCTATCCAGTGGCCCCTTTAAAATCGTGTTACTTGCTAATTAAAACCATTCCCATCTCTGAATTACATGAACTAATTATTCCTTCTTTAAACTCTGATCATTGCAGAGTAGACAAAGACAGGCTCCCACAGTTTCCAGGTTGTTAGAGGCCCTCCCCCAGGACCTACAGCCCAGAGGCAGGCACCCCAAGGTGGGTCAAAACCACCCTGAGGCTTCTTGCTAACACATCTGAAACAATAAATTTGTAGAAAAATGTGTATCGATTCTGTTTTATAGTGACTGGCATCTAGAAGGCAGATAATGTCATTAAATATCTCAAACAGAAAAGGCTCTTGTAAGTTTAGACCCGAGCCAGCATCTCAGGCAAAACAATCAATAGCCCTGTGATGGTGCAATTAAACCAAATGTTTTATTGACTGAAGGTCCTCTTAATTTCTATAATGTCAGAGTTTCTCAGCTTACAATATTGTTTGTCAATTGAAAATGATCTGAAATCAATGGTCTCTTAATTCAAGTGCCTCTGCAACTTTGGCCTAATTCTAAATTTAAAATGAGAGAACCAGTTTGAGGAAGTCTACAATACCGCTTGCATAGATAAGAATAATGCAAACATATTGATTAGCATGACGGTATGAGTCAGTCCATGTGTGCCCTTACCCAGAATGTGTGCTGGTGACCACCTTAAGGCTGGCGGCATTGCGAATAAGTTTGTCCAGGGTGTTGACGATCTGGGAGAACTTAGGTCTCAAGTTTCTTTCTTTCACCCAGCAGTCTAGCATAAGTTGATGCAAGGCAGTAGGGCAGTCCATGGGTGGGGGCAGTCGGTAGTCCTGCTCGACTGCGTTGATCACCTGTTGATTGAAAAATAATAGTTGTTTGGCTTTGGTTTACTCTCAAATGAAGTTGAATAGAGGCACAGTAGAGTGTAAACTCACATCTTGGTTGCTCATGTCCCAGTATGGGCGCTCGCCATATGACATCACCTCCCACATCACAATGCCGTAGCTCCAGACATCACTGGCTGAGGTGAACTTCCTATAAGCAATAGCCTCTGGGGCTGTCCAGCGAATAGGGATCTTTCCACCCTGTAGATGCAAGTGAGTACAATGTTTTTTTTTTAACTTCAGTCAGAAGCTGAAACATTATTAATTGCTATACATATTAAAGGATCAAGGTGTGAATGCTGACCAATGAGCTTGTGTAGGTGGGGTCAGTGGCATCATCCTCCAAGAAACGAGAAAGACCAAAATCGGACACCTTACAGACCAAGTTGCTGTTGACTAGGATGTTGCGAGCGGCCAGATCACGGTGCACATAGTTCATATCGGATAGATATTTCATGCCAGCTGCAATCCCTCTCAACATACCGACGAGCTGGATGACTGTGAACTGTCCATCATTTAGCTGTTGGATAGAGAGAGGAAAAATCACAGAGCCATTCATAAAGTGTTTTTAACTTTCCAGGATGTTACTCATGACCTAGCTGATTCATCTCTGAATGTCACAGCTAGTAGCCACGCTATTTGTCATCTCTATTCAGTTTAGAATGTGTGGGGATAGGTTTTTTCAAGGGGATAGGTGAGAACCTACTTTTTTGACTTGTGCTAGACCTCAGCAATGATGGTATTTGTTTTATGAAGTAGATCGATTTGAACGAAATATTACTTGCATGTCCACAAACAGGAATAATAGTAATTATAAATACATTTTATTAAGGTAGTAATCATCTCTAACCCGGAGAAAGGAATCCAGCGCTCCGTTCTCCATGAACTCCGTGACGATCATGACTGGCCGACTCTTTGTGACCACCCCTTCCAGGCGGATAATATTGGGATGATCGAACTGACCCATGATGCTGGCCTCACTCAGGAAGTCTCTTCTTTGGCGCTCTGTGTAACCTGCCTTCAGAGTCTTGATGGCTACAATGATCTCACGCCTTCCAGGGAGCTTCAGACGGCCGCGACACACCTCTCCAAACTCTCCTACATAGGTAATGGACAGACAAGAAAGAGGCAGAAAGGGTGGAGTGGAGAGAGGAGATGAGGGAAGAGTGGAGGAGTGTGGGAGAGAAAGGGGAGAGGGACAGTTACTGGTTAGAATCAAGGAGCCAGGGGGAAGCAGGGGGAGACAGCAAAAGAAGCCAGGGCTAAAGGTGATGCTATTGGAGTGTATCCCCAGGGGGCGAGGGAAGGGGTAGGGTGAGGTCAGGAATGCTTAAATGGAAAAGGCTTTCGGAGCATTGTTGGGGGTTGAGGTACCAAAAAGGAAATGGTAAAAGTAAGGCAATAGAGGAAGGGGTAAAGGGCAGAAGCAGGGAATGCTAGGGTGTGGAGGGAGTGAGGGTAAGAGTGTAGGAAGTAGGTGGGGACAGAAGCTTGGGAGGATTGGACGACTTGCGTCTGCAGTCTAGGCCAATGTGTAAGCAGGTGCAAGAGAAACAGTGGGATCAGGGGAGGACATGGTAGGGGTTCATCACTTTAGACAAAGCTGGGAAACAACAGGTTCAGGTAGCAGCGTTAGATGTTAAAAGCCTTGTTTTTTGGAGTGTGGCATGGGGCTCCTCAACTCTTACTGAACCAGAATCCTACTTATCTTTGCTTTTGGCTTTCAGAAACTAAACTGTTAACACTAATGTTAAGATCTAGCAAAATGTATAAAACAAAGGGGACTCAAGGGCAGGAAGGAGCACCATGGATGGAGAAGTTAACAGGTCAAATGGGCAGGAGGACAATTAGTTGTCCGAGAGGTATAATCAGGCTCAGGACAGGTTTGGTAAGATAGCAGGAATGGTAGCTCTATAGTTAGCTCTGAAGATAACCTCAGAAGCTCCATTTTGTAAGTAAAGCTGTTAGAGACATTGGTAAGGTGCTAAGGGATTGTATTTTGGAGCGGGATGAGTTGATTGAAGTACCGCTTGGAGTGAAGTCCTCTAAAGGTATGGCCTGGGTGTGCCTAGCTGTCTTCCCCCTGTTGCTCAGGAGCTTTTGTTGGTTACCTGCGCCAATGACCTCCTCGATTTTCACACAGGAAACGTCAATCTCTTTGGCAAACTCGCGGATGGCCTCATTTGGGTCCTCGTAGGTGAATGGGTCAATGTAGACCTTCATCCCCGGAGTGACTATAGGGGATTCAATAGTGCGAATAGCCGTATGAATCACACTGCCATAATACACAATATTTAAAGCATTTTAGTCATCCAATGGCAAGTAAACTCTGTAGAGACTTACTATATTGTTGCAGTTTTTCTGTGTATTCTGATTCTGAGCCATTACGTTGCTTCCTGTGAGCCAAAGACGATACAGTCAGTTACAAAAGGTTCATGATTTCTTAACTAAAAATAGCAAAATAAGCATTTTGAAAAGGATCTGTTTTTTTCACTGCCTGCCAGCCCCTTTAGGGACATGAATTGAGGTCGATTAAAGAAGGGGAATTATCTGACAATTAAGAGAACAACAGATTCAGCCTCAAGAGACCATTGTCACTTTAGTTGACTGAATGGTGGAAGTGAAATCTACATAAAGACAGCTAAGAAAAACAGATTCTTGCTCCCTAGAATCTTTACTGCCACATTGTTTAATTCACTCCTGTCTTTTAATTCTTTCCTTCACACTTTCTCCACTATAAGTCCATTAAATGCAATGCAATTTCAACCCCCTCTAGTAGCTACATGCTAATGCAATCCCTTTGTTGTCTAAGTAGTAACCGGGCCAATAATACCCGCTGGTGATTTGTATCTCATTTCCAATTCAAATTCAGTTTGAGAGTATTCCAAGGCCTACATTTTTTTTCAGTCGCAGACTAGTTAAGAAACACTGCTGATTAGAAAGGAAGAGAGTGCAAATTGAGAATTTTTTGCATGATAAGGCTTTAAATACACAGCTGGCTTGCAGTTGAAATGGCAAGGGAGGCCATAAGATGGAAACCGCCAGTGCCAACGATCCCCGGGACATTACAGAATTCCAATGCAAGGAACATGTACATTTGAGACCACTAGATACAATTTACAAAGTATAAAATTCAAAATGAATCTACTTTTGGGTGTACCTAAAATGCACTCCATTCCAATTGACCAATAGGTACCAAGAAAGCATGGCGGGTGACTAAAATAAATTCATTCAAATAATTGTGTTGTTTCATAGGTATACTTTGACGTAATTATTTCTTCAACATTTTATGTGATCCACTTATAAGTGCAATTACTGAATATTATTTAGGTAAGTGAAATTACCTGAGGCAGACAATGGCAATAACCACAACAACAATGATGAAGACCAGCCCTGCCGTTAGAGAGCCCACAATGAGGGGCAGCTGCTCCTGCAGAGTCTTGTCTGGATCAGCTGTGTGAGGCACACAAAGAGAGAAGATATCATAGGAAATATCCAAAGGATCGTATTTCTCATATCTATTTATAGAGTGTTATTTATAGGATTATTAATGCAAAAACTTCACTTAGATTTAAACCAATGCTTGATATGCTTTGGAAAGACATCATTTTAATGTGCTTTACACACCCTGGTGGTTGGTGCTGAAGTCGGTAGGGCTGCTATAGCGGCCATACCCTGCCACCGTTCGGGCTCGAACCTGCACCACATACGGCGTCCCTGGCTTCAAACCCTCGATGCGTGCAGAGCTACGCTGGGCTGTCATGGTGTGGGCAATAGCTTCTCCCTGGTCCTGTGGGAACAGTGATAAAACAAGCCATATAAAACCAGCCAGCACCCAAAAGCGAGCGTCTGGCAGCTCCAGTTTAATCTGTCAGTACAACACATCAAACACGGAGCAGATATGCCTGGCTCTTTCTTCTCCTCTATGCAAATCCTCCTGCCTCCATCCCTGCCAAGCTCCAACTGCCTTGCAGTATCAGCGTTCAAAAGAAGGGGATGAATCAAGGAAGGAGTTAGGGAGGAGAGTGTTAGGGTATGAGAGAGAGAGACAGGAAGGGTTGATGCTGTTGTCAGGATGAACGATTATGTATAGAGCAGAGGATGACAGTGGTGGAATTGTGATTGAATGCCCTTCGCTTCATTGACTTACACTGGCTCTTACCTTCTCATGGTATTTAATCTCGTAATCCAAGATGATGCCATTTGGTTTTTCAGGAGGGAGCCAGGAAAGACTCATGGTGTTGGCTGAGGCCCCCATCAGGTGGACAGTGGGAACTGCAGAGGGAGCTATGTGGGTGGAAAATGAGAGAAATCCCATTTTAATGAAAACTGAATTTCTTTTTCTTGTTTTCACATTCAGAGCATGGTCACATTTAGGATTACCAAAGAGCCACTTTGAAGTATAAGCATTAGACAGCCCTTAGTATTTGGCACTTTCAGGGGCCCAGCCTCTCGAGCTACACAGACAGAATAGATTCTCCTGTGAAAAGCACCATGACAGACAAACCGGAAGGCTTGGTATCTGGTAGATCCAGTCCACACAATCTGTTTATAGCTCCACACACCCTATGTTCACTCCCTAATCTCTTGTTACGGCCCATGATGCCTTCTTCTTACTGTCTGTTATTTATATACAGTATTTGTATATTCTTTCCCCAAATCACTGGCGCAAATTCTTCCTTAGCAGCTTACTTATTTTAGCACCCAGCTTTACATAATCTAAATTGTCCCCATTTGTCCTCAGACCTGATGTTGCCGTCTCCGGTTTCTGATGTTATCAAGTTCTGTTCACACACTACAATAGCTCTCAACATCCCCTACTTTCTTGCCTCTGTCTCTCTCTCCCTCACTTTTTCTTTGTTAAAAACGTTTTAATCCCCAGGTCCGGTTCTTTGATCCTTTCCCTAGTAGCTCTTTATTATTCTGTCTGTCTCTTTGTCCGCCTCCCCCAAAAGCTCACTCTCCCCCAACCCAACACCGTCAACCTCCTAACCCAGGCCTTGCTCAGAAGAGCCTCACCCTGAAGACAATACTCCCTGGGTAGCCCGCTTGCTTACTCTCACCCCGGGATTAAGGGGCCTCATCCTGCGGAGACAGTGGAAGTAACCATGGCGTCCCTTGAGCTGACGGCCCGTATTTATTTTTTGTCTTAAAAAGTGGATGAATATTCAGGCACAGTCCTAGGAGATAATCTGCTCACAGATTTTCCTGAATATTTGGAACCATGGGGGTGGGCTGCTGTGTGGGTGTGCATGTCACCCTGAGATTGACTTATGTGCAACAACAGCCTGGGTCATATTACAATGCCTGTGGTCAATCCCTGATAGCAAACAGAGGCATTCTTGGAGCTTGGTGCTAGCATAGAGTGCTAAGGAGAGAGTTAAGCATATGTATGACTCTGAAAGCTATCCTGAGTCCAGTGATCAATTCAAAACTTGGATTAAACAATAAGAGGCTGTTTCCACAAAGTCAATGCATCTCCACATATCATTAAACCCAGCATGCTCAAGCCTAGAGTAGATTAGCTGTCTGGTGTTGATGCATTCAGTGGGCTGAGCTATTTGAATATAGTTGTGTGGGTTGAAAGTATCTTAAGAAGGCCTATGAAGAAAACCTTTTTGTAAAAAAAAAAATTGAGAATAGAATATTTGTAACGTTTTATAAATCTGGTAGCTGTGTTTTGGAACATGGTAGTTTATTTCAAACCATAATACAGGCTGATTGATAACCAACTTAAAACAGAAACAACTCACTGAACTCACCAGCTTGGTTGGTGGTGATGTTAACAGAGGCAAAGTGGGGCGCGTAGGGACTCTTGTTGGAGACTCCATTGACGGCCTGAATCTCAAAGCTGTACTGGGTGTGAGCCTGAAGGTTTCTGACCGTCACGTGTCTCTCAGTAAGCCCAAGGTGGCGGGGAGAGATGTCCACATTGTCATCACACCGTGTGCAGGTACCACGTTCGGGCAGGCATTTCTTACAGATGACGTTGTAGAGAAGGTCCTCCCTTCCGCCTTGGTCACGTGGATCGCTCCACTCAAGTACAAGCGATGTCTCGTTTACGCTGGAGATGACGCTGCGTGGAGATGAGGGCACAGCTGCAAAAATAAAATAGATGTGTCATGTTATACTTCTGAAGACGCAATTAAAGGACAACTCCGGCGCAAAATGAACCTTTAGTCTAATTACACATTGTTACCTAGTCAACCGTTATCAGAGATTTGTTTTCATGATTGCCAAAAGTAAATAGTTTTATCTCTAAAAACAGTTTAGCCTATAATGCTAGTATATGGGGCATAGAGTAATGACAAATAAAAATCGCTTGTTATTACCACTAACAAGGCTCAAAATAGCCCCACACCAACACGACAGCATAACAAGGGTCCCTACATTCAAACCGAAGCATTGAGAACTTTGTCAGTGTCCATACAGTTTAATAAGAAGATATTTTATACACACAGTAAACTTCGCGAATACAGGAAGAAGCCATCTTGGAAAAATAGTCTCTACCAGTCGATCTACGAACGCCGATCCAAGTGCACTGGTAAGATGTGAATAAGGTGATAAAGTGAGCGCGAACAGTAGGCTACGTGTACATATTGAAGAGAAGAAAACGGTTTGTGTTTGTGTTTCTTCTGGAAACAATGGACCCTATGAGATTCTGCACAGTTCAGCGCACTTGGATCGGCGTTCGTAGATCGACTGGTAGAGACTTTTTTTCAAAGATGGCTTCTTCCTGTATTCGCGAAGTTGACTGTGTGTATAAAATATCTTCTTATTAAATTGTATGGACACTAACAACGTTCTCAATGCTTCGGTTTGAATGTAGGGACCCTTGTTATGCTGTCGTGTTAGTGTGGGGCTATTTTGAGCCTTGTTAGTGGTAATAACAAGCGATTTTTATTTGTCATTACTCTATGCCCTATATACTAGCATTATACTAGCGTTATAGGCTAAACTGTTTTTAGAGATAAAACTATTTACTTTCGGCAATCATGAAAACAAATCTCAGATTACGGTTGACTAGGTAACAATGTGTAATTAGACCAAAGGTTCATTTTGCGCCGGAGTTGTCCTTTAAACATTTAAATTAGTTAAGTGCATGTTGATAATTTAGCATTCATAATAACCCTATCTAACAGACCAGGCTAAGGTGGTTTACTTGCCTTCCGACAGGTTTGTCTGGTCTCCGTGTTTAGTAAAGCTGGTGTTCGGTTGGTCTAGCTGTTTGGGCAGCTGTACTCTAAAAAATGCTGGGTTGTTTTAACCCAACTTTGGGTCAAATATGGACAAACCCAGCCATTGGGTTAAAATTTTTAATTACATTTTTAACCCAACGTTTGGGTTCGTCCGTATTTGAACAACCCAGCATTTTTAGAGTATGATTTCCCAGACTGGCCATTTGACAGGTTCCCTAACCCCCAACAAAACTATTCAACTAAGCAGTGGTACCCAGCTAAGAACATCAGACCGACTGGGTTCAGATGTTTTATAAGCAAGAAAATTGAAATAAAATTGGTCAAATGGGACTTCCTTTACACTCAATGCAGATTAAGTGCTTTCATGTAACTAAAATTAAGCAAAACCTTGTTTTCCCCACTTGTGCTGCTCATTTAACATCAAAAATGGCAAGAAATAGCTGCGGTGTTCACTTGGGAAAACATTTTTTGGATCTATCTGTTCAGAGTACTGACAATGAACATAAATAAGCTTATATAAAACAGGAGAAAGGGAAATATTTCGAAACAATCCCAGCATTCTCCTACTTGTTGGACTATTGACTGAGGAATTGGTTTACATATGGACGAACATGAATGCACATACAGTTGATCAATGTGGATTGTTGATCACTGCTTAAGATTAGATGAGGTCATGATGGGTGAAAAGGAGGTTTTTGTCTAAGGTGTTACTTACTGGTGCATCCTGAGTCAGGTGAGTCACTGTCTGCCCGATAGTAGCCTGTCCTACAGGAACAGATGCTGGCGGCTCCAGAACTCGTTCGACTGTTGGGCGGACATGGGGAGCAAAACCCTTCACCCTGCTTGGACTTGAAGGTGCCTGGACTGCAAGCTAAAGAGAGAAAGAGTTGCTTACTTTTACTCTCAGAGCTTAGTTGCAACTGCATATTGTACCTCATTTTCAATGAATTGCTTCCATCTAGGAATGTGACAAAGCTTTTCATTGCATTCAACAGCAAAATCGATTTCCCCATTGCACTTAGCATCTCTGTTTGGCTTAATTTTCCTTTTGTTTTCCATGCCCGCAGTATGCAGTCTAATCCTTTCCATCTTGGCATTGTAAAATACGAAGGCACACAGGTTGTTGCTTACGTATTTGTTTGGCACCATTAGTTTGCTGTTGCTTTCCTCCAGGGAAATAAACCCCTCGTGACTAGACGAGTTCCAACAACATACCCTGGCCTTGCATAAACCCCATGCGCACATGAGCTAACCGTCAACTTCAATTACAAACAGATGCCTGTTTGTTCCAAACAAGAGCACTTTTCCAAATGAAGTCCTACAATCAATACTCAAACACAGGGAATGTCGATGTTGTACCACAGGAAGATAAACAAAGCCATTTTGAAGGCTACACAGTAAAGTGTGAGCCGCTATCTTATGAACACAAAGATTGGTGTGTCATTCACAGGTCTTTGACCTTTGTGGAGCTCCAACACCATTTACGGAAATTGTGTACACATTGTATCGCATCTATGTGATCTTTTTGTTCGGAATGTCATCTAACAGTCTTGTAAAGTGATCAAGGAGCCAGTTTTTTTGTTTATTAACGGATGGGAAGGAGTACGACACCAGTTCCCAGCCTTCTGAGACATTTTATCAGTAGTCTCTAAGGATTAGGATGAGCAAATAATGAACAGTCACTGTTTTTTTTTAGGAAAAGATTTGAACATCTGGTTTCTGGACTGATAGTGTTCAAAGCAGAACACACTTCTGGTGATGTTCCTGGGGTCACCTTCTTAGTTCCCTTTCTCAGAATCTGCAATATTGACACAAGGCTTCATTAGTGCAGGGATACTGTTAACTTGGTTGTCTGGGGGCTTATTTGTTTAATCATTAATCAGGGGAGGGCAGCGGTAGGTAGCTAGCGAAGGAACATAGAAAACAGTCGCAGTGATAAAGATGAAAGAGTGTGTAGGCCGTAATTTGAGTTTATCACACGTAACGTATCGCTTTGGAGATTAATGAGTCCTCAGTGTTTTGCCTCACATTTAGATGTACATAAATCAATGTACAAAAATGAGACCATCTAGATTCTAGACCATATGAAAGACTGCTTGAAATTCCCCTTCAAAAAACTGGCTGTTTTCTGAAAGGTTGAAAGTGCTGATTAATCGCTTCCAAGAAGGTAAGAAGTCAGCCCTTTCCTTTCATCCTCATCCTTCCTCTAGCTGCACTCCTGACAGAGCGAGAGAAAGAGAGGAGAGGTGAAAGACAGCAAAGGAAATGCAAATCCTGTGGCTTTTTCATGAGTTGTACACTCTCTCCAGTCTATTGCCCACACTCTATTGCCCAAACCTTCTTTACTCTCTCTCTCTCCCTCATTGAGAGCAGAACATAGGACTTAAGGGAGTGATTAGAATTTGTGGTGAAATTGGAAGCGAGGAGAAAGAATGGATAGTAGAAATATGCAGCGCTAAGGACAAAAAAAAGGTTTTGTCAATTAATATTCATGTGAATATCCTAACTGTGCTCTGGCAGGGTATTAATGAGACCAACGGCCTTCAGATGAAGGCGAGCAAGAGAGAGGTGACAGAGAGATTTATCCCTCCTTTGGTTTCCGGGTGGCTTGATTAGAGAACATTTTATCAGGTCACTGCTGCCAGGGATTTCACCTTGAGCCACCACAAGCAAACAAATGAGTTTTTAACTATACATCAGGACTGCCCACTTTCCCCACGGGTATACTGGTTTAATATCAAGTTGGCAGTAGTAGAAAAGTCCTTTATTACTTTGACAACTACACATATTTCTTAAGATAATAATGATAATAATGAGAGTGGTGCTTGGAGATGTATGCTACAGCACAGTCTCATCCCAAGACATCATATAATTGACGTCTTGGGACGTCTTTTGACCATACGTCAATATCCGCCTTTTTAGGGCCCCCTTAAATGTCGGTAGATGACGTTATCGGATCCCAACTCTAACCCCAGACCTAAACCTAACCCTAAACCTACCCCGTCACCTAACTGACGTTAAAGGTAAAGCGTCAGTTGTATGATGGCCCGGGATCGCCGTCTACCGACGTTTAAGGGGGCTCTAAAAAGGCGGATATTGACGTATGGTCAAAAGACGTCCCAAGACGTCAGTTATATGACTTCTTGGGATGAGACTGTGTTATATGCCAAGGTGTTGTAAATGGATTTCATGGCATTGCTCTGCATTTCCAAAGGTGTTCATTTTAGGCTGGTTGCTGGGGTTTGGTAATAGGTTGTCAAAGTGTTGCAATGTGGTTCATAAGGCATCCTTGCTTGTTATTTTTGTTTATCTTATAGAGTCGCTGCATGGTTTCTAGCTGTCTCAAGATACTCATGATACTCAAGTTCCTCCTTAAATGAACATACAGGATTTTTCCACTGATTTATCATCCGAAATAGACTGCCTAGAAACGTATCAGTTTTTGATGAAAACATTCCAGGATTTTCTCTATATAATTGACTTCATTGGGAACCAAACGGTTCAAGGTCCAAATGAGAGTTTCAGTGCAGCTTTAAACGACACCAGACGATGAATAAGGGTCTTATCTAGGACCCTTCGAGTCATGACTCGAAAAAAGATTTGTTCATTTCGAGTTTGAACAGGAGAGTCACAAACGCGCATCACAGAACAGATCAAGGCGAGCATTTGTGCTTATAAAACTTAAACTTTTTTATTTATTTTTTAAAAGACCGATCATTTCGCTAGATAAGACCCTTATTCATCATCTGGTGTCGTTTAAAGCCCTTTGAAGCTGCACTGAAACTCTCATTTGGACCTTGAACCGTTTGTTTCCCATTGAAGTCCATAAAATCCTGGAATGTTTTCATCAAAAACCTTAATTTCTTTTTTGACTGAAGAAAGAAAGACACGGACATCTTAGATGACATGGGGGTGAGTAAATTATCAGCAAAAGTAAAAAAAAAAGTGAACTACTGCTTTAAGCGACTCTCAACCAACTCTCATAATAATCCTCCTTTCTCTATACTCAAATAATTTGCTGTTCGATTTAGGTCTTTACCCCAGAGGTTCACTTCTCAGTGACTCTGTCTTTGTAGGTCTTACAATTTGGTGGAAGCAACTGTCTCTTTGAGACCTTTCACTTCTGGTGCCTTGATTGTCAGGGTTACTTTTCTATCTCCATCTCGTGCTCTTCATTAATGTTTCACTGCAGCCCTTGCCCTTGGTCTGCAAATCGATTCCGTTCTCCTCTCACTCCCAGCCCTCCATTTGACCCTTGACCTCCCGCTGTCTGCTCCGCTCACTTTCACCGTGGCTCTGTTACACGCTGGCTTAATTCACCTCAGTTCTGAACCTGATATGTTTTTCAGCAAGAATGTTCCAGTCTGATGGACATACAGACTATTTTACTTATTCATTGCTTTGCTCTGCTTAAATTCAGGTTGAATAACTAAATTTGCTGTTAGGCCAAACACCTCAATAAAAAAACAGGACGATTTGTCCATTCGACTTAATGTGATACCAGGAGATAAGACAAACTGCACAGTGAGAAGAACAAAACACATATATCAGCACTCACCTTGACACTGTGTCTCCTTAACTGCAGGCTCGAACCCAGCCATGCAAGTACAGGAACCTACAGGAACCATCCACTCTCCATCTCCATTGCAGTAGAGTTTAAGAGGTACAGACACCTCCAGAGCATTCGGCACGCAAGTGCCGGGGGCAATGACTAGTGACGTGGCCTCGGCTCCTGTGGCCGTCTCTGGGAAGACGGCGAAATTGGCGATGGTCGTGGAACACTTCTTGTAGAAAACTCGGACAGAGATTAAAGACATGCAGGCGCCCAGGTCCTGGAAAGCCAGATAGAAGCCGGCTTTGGAAAGTGGACCAAAGCTGCGAATCTTGGTGTTGACCCGACCAGACTCCAACATAGAGAAGCTCTCATCCGGAGCAATGGTGTCCACCTTAACGTAAGGGTTCTCCATCCAAAACGGACTGGTGGCGGTGGCTGAATCCGAGTCAGACTCATAGTAGAACAGATTGAAGGTCTCTTTACATGATCCTGGAATGTTGGGAATACTGTTGCAATCTCGTACGGTGAACTTCATCTCCACATAAACACGAAGAACATCCTTTCGGGGGATGAAGTCGCTGCGAAGCCAGTTGTTCTGGTTGAGCTCACGAACATTGCACACCTGGTATGTTCGGATGGGGTTCATGGCATCATCATAACCGCTTACTTCCTCCCACTGAGAAAAAAAAAGAGAGGGAAACACTGTAAGCCATATATATACAACAACTTACAAGTTCACCTTCGGAATGAGATAGCACTTAATATATACCACATTCTTCCACGGAACAATAGCAATAACACGTTTTATCTAAAGTATGGTACAATACGCCTCGTTGTCAGTATTATAGATGAAACTATTCTCATTTTGATGTTATCCAGGGCTTTGGAACTCTGAGGTGTTACACTACTGAGCTACGGCAGGCAATAAATTGCTCTTTCTCAGCCCCACAGCTTAGAAACAATATAATGGAGGGAGCAAGCCGAGAAAAAGAGTGAATGGGGCAGATGAAAGAGAGGGGAAATTAAATTTTGTGCCTTTTCAATTACACATTGTGTACGGCGGCTTTAAGTGGGGAGCTGCAAACTGGTCTTGCTTCGGCGTTCAATGAAGAAACCCGCCTGGCAAATTCATCAAAATTACCGTGGAGTTTCAGAACTCCATTAAATAAACCACCGAGTGGATGTTTACCTCATAACTCGAGTGTGGAGTACTCTCTGCATCACTTCACAATCAATTACTGTTCAATTAAGCCATCATGATTACATTGTATTCATGCAGATCTCCAAGCTACATTCAATCCTCTACCTGAATGGTTTCTCTTAAGAACATACATCATTTCAAAAGAAAAGTGAGAGGTATCGTCAAGAGGTTGATTGCTATTGGTACTGCATTGTGCATCTTACTTTAAAGTGAGAATACTCCCAGCAAACAAATTTGGGTTCTGGGAACTTTAGTTTTTGGTTCCCAGAACGTTCCTAGAACTTTCCCTTAAAGAGTTAGTTCACCCAAAAATGAAAATTCTGTCAGTATTTACTCACCCTCATGTTGTTCCAACCCTCTATGTGTTTATTAGTTCTGCTGAACACAAAGGAAGATATTTGGAAGAATGTTTTAATCAAACAGATCTAATTCCCCATTGACTACCATAATGGGGAATGAGATCTGTTTGATTAAAATATTCTTCCAAATATCTTCCTTTGTGTTCAGCAGAACTAATAAACACATAGAGGTTTGGAACAACATGAGGGTGAGTAAATACTTTTTTGGGTGAACTAACCCTTTAAGTTTAAGGGAACGTTCCCGGAACATTCTCCTTACGTTATAAAAATGGAACCCAAAAATAACCTACATGGAACGTTCCAATAACGTTCTTGTTTGGTTCCCAAAAAATAACCTCATGGGACCATTCAGGAACGTTAGGGGAACGTTCTTCTGTGTTTGCTGGGCTGGTCGCGGTGACAATGAACAAACTGAGATTTGCCAATTTGAGAGTCGAAAATGTTAAATATAGTTCAACATCAGCAGTGTTATTCAGCAACTGCTAATGGGAGCGCATACTGTGGTCGAGGAAGAACGCCTACTAGCAATCTTGGCAGCTAATGAGGGTTTTTACATCAAACTCTTCTTGCTTAAACAAACAGCATATATCAACGAGAAATGTTTTATCTTCTAATTGGTAAAGAAACAATTAGATACATGCTCGGCCCACTTCTTTTGATTACGGCGAGTTCAAATTAAGGCAATTCTAAAGGAGAAAATGAGCTGTAGCCGAAAAAGAAAACTAGCGCAGCGTCGAGAGATTTGTTGAGAGAGTAGCGTAGGGTTTGTGTAGGGGTGAAGTCTTTAATTAACACAGCGATATGGATGTTGTGCGGACAGGCCATTCATCCCTACGGGACCCCGGGGACCCCAGGTAGACGGGGCTTCTAGAAGTCTCTGCTTTATCACAGCCTTTCTGAGCCAAGGGTGCTGAAATCAATAAAAAGCATCTGGTCAATGGGACAGGAGAAAGAGTGAAGTGTAAATGGGCATTTAGTTCAGTGGAATAAATTGCTGAGAGAGTGAAGATGGGGAAGACGAAGCGGCCCCCACACATTGCACTGGTGTGGACTCCTCTTGCCGCAATGAAACATTCCACTTTCCAGGATTAAGATGCTAAATCAGTTTCATTTCAACTCAATATCAGGGAAATAAGCCTACAAATTGTGATCTCTGCATATTACCCAGCAAACAAATGTAGGTTCTGGGAACGTTCTGGTAACGTTAGTTTTTGGTTCCCTTAAGGTTAAGGGAAAGTTCCCGGAACATTCTCCTTACGTTATAAAAATGGAAACTCAAAACAACCTACATGGAACGTTCCTATAACGTTCTTGTTTGGTTCCCAAGAAAATAACCCCATGGGACCATTCGGGAAAATTAGGGGAACGTTCTGTGTTTGCTGGGTTAAACTTTGATGCAACAAAGAGCACTTTCGTAAACACTTGTATGTTTATGCACATTGATTTTGTCTTTGATTCGTTGGGGGGATGAATGAATTCACTTTAGATGGAGCCGTTGGAATGATGGTTTATTTATAAATATGTAAGTGCATTGCTTTTTTTACTCAGTTTGTTTATCTTGGAAGAATTAGCAGGTCAGGTTTAAGCAACAGCAGGCCATTATGTTTATTTTTCCTTAATGGCGTTAAAGTCTGTATTTATCTGTGTTTATTTCTCAGGTTACAGGTGTACAACTAATGACTAATAGAGTTTTTTATTTATTTATGGCAGATTGAATGAAAATAGAAAAAGGCCTGCTGAGTCAGGCTGGGAATTATTCCAACTTCTTGCCCTTGTTTTTATTATCTGGGCACAGTTCCCGGTTCGTTTCTTTTGGGTGTGACATACCATTGAACTTAATGTCAGAAAAAATTAGAAATGAGTGTCGCGTAAGACTGCCAATTAAGCCAGTGGGTAAATCTCCAATCTCCATGTGAACAGTTTTCATTGGATTCACAGAAAACTTGAGATTGAAATAATAGACATCCAGAACACTGTGATATTTAAGGAAAGGACTCACTGGTGCCACATTTCCCATGTCTGTCTTAAAATACAGTGGGGCGGTGTGGGTGAAATGTATAGCTGAGTGCATGACAGAGAGCAGAAGGGAAAGAATTGGGCAATGTATGTCCTGAAAGGAGGCATCTGTTGGGGTGTCGAGGGGTTGTGCTTTGGCCCATTGTGCTGGGGAGTTTTAGTGCTTTAATGGGGGCGGCGAGGGATATTTACAAGAATAATATATAGAAGGGGAAGGTGAAATGGCAGTTGATTTGTGGTGTTCATTGGTGCTAAGTTACTCGGAAGTAAAGGTTTTGGGGAGGGGCGACTGCAACAGCTGAGATGGTGTGGCTGGGGGCAGGAAGGGGCAGTGGACACATGCAGAGCCCTGAAGTAGAGGAAATCCAAAACTAAGAAATAGACAAAAGTAAGGAAAGGCAGCAGTCTCTGGGTATTGTGGAAGATATACTGAGCAAAGGATACTTCTGCTGTGTCTGCCAAAAGCTTGTGGGCACAAATTTCATTTTTGGAGAACGAATGTAACACGGCTAGGGTGAAATCTGATCTGGGCATTGCCTTTATTTGATGAAACTCAGAGCTTCCTGTGTTTAACACGCTATATTTCAACAAGGACCGTTTATAATGCCTCTTGATTTAAAGGTAGTTTAACTACGACATTTATGAGAGAATCTCACGAAATCTGCCAGAAAGTCATTTTTTAGCCCTCAAATGAAAGAATTCAATGGAAAGAAATGATATACACTTTATCTAATCAAAAAAAGCAATATTGTTAATTAAATGTAAGAAATTAGAATTGAGTGATAATTAATCAAATTAATTCCTTAAAAGTTAACTATTTAAAATGAGCAAAACAAAAACCACCAAAAAAACAAAACAAAAAAAAAACATAAATTAAAGTCACCATTATGGTGATCAGTGTTTGTTTTAAAATGACAGTTTTCTCCTTCAGTGATTCTGCTTGTTAACATCAGGTGTCTTCAATGTTGGCAATATAAAATAAAGAGTTCTTAATTAATCTTTGACGTCTGTCTGTTTAATTTTTTGGTGTAAACTTTGCTCATTTCAAATGGTTAACTTTTACGGAATAATTATTACTCAATTCTAATTTGTTAAATTTAATTAATGATATTGCTTGTAATCTGTTGCCACAATTCTATAGATTAGATAACGCATATTCATTTTACAGTGTAAATACTGTATATGTCAACAAAACTGTTCCTACAAACGAACCAGTAATTTTATTGTTTTATGTTAGGGTTAAATATGACATGGAGAGGTTTTTTATTTTTTTTTATTTTTTTTTTAGATTCACTATTTGGACTGAAGGAGCAGATCATATAAGCATAATGAGCTCAGGTTAACCAAAGTCAAACACACAACAGCAGTAACTCACCCCAGTTTCAGGTTGTGAGGTCCATGCCAGTTCAGTGGTGGCCCATTTGGTGTCCATGAGTGTTTCTGCAGGGAAAAAAAGTTTGAGGAACAATGTGAGCCTAAACAACTGACAGCAAAAAATAAAATGAGAAAAACCTTGGGAGGAATTGATTTCACACAGTGAAGGACGAGCTGAGCAATACATAACAGTCACTGTCCATATTGTTAATGGGAATTACTGCATTGTGGTAAATTCACGAGTGCTGTTACAGAGAAACACTATCATGCTAATCAACGGTGAAAAGACGGAAGAAAGGCAAAACAGCTTTGTGGGTGATCCAGAAGACATTGTCAAAGATTTATGACAGCCCTCCTCTAATTAGATTTAATTAGCCGTGTATTTGCTGGGTGGGAAAGAAAAGCTAAGTGTTTTTGAAAGACAACCCTCTACCCTTCCTACACGTACACACACACACCATCCACACACTCGCACCCTTAAGCTAGCAGCTGTAAACTCAAGAGGATATATAACAGAGCAAAGGAGTTCTTGAACAGCGCCATAAAACTTGCAAAAGGAAGATCTTCACAATTTCCTCAATGCCCAATATGCTCTGCCTGTCTGTTTTTTTCTGTTGTTATCCCACCAGCCATATGTGCAGCTCTCTGTTTTTATTACAATGAAAGCACGCTCACTCGAACATATTGAGGCAACCATTTTACCTTCCACCACCTGCTTCTGCTGTTTATGCATGGCGGTCGCAGTTACGATTGCACGTTGTGACTATGTTTGAGTAAATTAGATGGATGAGAGTGTTTAAAAGTGCACTGAAATCATGACAAAGTTTATTGTCCTCTGAAGTGAGTGCTAAACCCAGTTACTCCTTGTATTAACATCCGTCCCAGGAATAAACAGGGTTTGAATGTTGTCAGAAATTCATTTGAACTCTTTGGAGGGCAAAATTCAATAAATTAAAAATCAAAAATAAGAAAAAAACAAACAAACTAAATGAATAAATAAATACAAATCCAACTTTGCTGTGCTTACTTTTGAAACATCAAATTCTCCAAAGATGTCCACCATGCTTACGTTCATATTTCATATTTGAAGTCTTTCTAAACGCTCAAATCATGACAAAACAAAAACTGTTTACACAAAACAGATTGTTTCAAAGCAGCTTTCCAGTAATAACAGGAAAATAATGCTGAAGTCAGTTCAGTGTTTATTCAGTTCAGTTGTGTTAATTCCAACCCGATCTCATGACCAAGTCGTACGAATTCGACGAATGAATAAAAAGTAGCTAATTCGTAACAATTCATACGAACTCACTCGTACGAATTAGTACGATTTTGCTAAATCGTACATATTTTACGAATTGGCCAATTCGTATGAATTCGTACGAATGACTTACCCCTTACCCCGCCCCTAAACCTACCCATCACGTGGGTTTAGACAAAACGTACAAATTCGTACGAGTGAAGTCGTACGAATTACACACTTTTTAATCATTCGTCGAATTCGTACAAATTTGTACGAATTTCATCTGCACTGTAAAATTAATGCGTTTTATCTAATAAAAATGTTTTGTGGCAACAGATTACAAGCAATATTATTAATTAAATTTAACAATAGAATGGAGTAACAATTAATCATATTAATTCATTCAAGTTAACCATTTAAAATGAGTAACACTTTTAAAAAAAGTATGTTTAAGTCACCATTATGGTGATCAGTGTTTGTTTTAGGTTTGTTTTAAAATGACGGTTTTCTCCTTTGGTGATTCTGCTTGTTAACATCAGGTGTCTTCAATGTTGGCAATATTAAAGAAAGATAATATAAAATAATTTATCTTTGACGTCTGTCTGTTATTCAGAGATTTTTGTTAATTTTTTTGGTGTAAACTTTACTCATTTTAAATGGTTAACTTTTAAGGAATATTTTGATTAATTTTTACTCAATTCTAATTTGTTCGATTTAATTAATAATATTGCTTGTAATCTGTTGCCACAATTTTATTGATTAAAGTCTATAAAGCAGTTATCCCCATCTCAGAACACTTACAAAGATGGACTTATTCAGTCATTTTGCGTGCTTTACCCTATTTTCACCCAATCCTAGTGCACAGTCTTCGTTTACATAAAGTCTTTGCTGATTTATCCCGGACAACAGTGGAGGACCACCTACTCGCCTGTCAATCAAACCGAATATTAATAAAGTTGGACACGGCAATCTGTCTGATCCATTACTCGTCTACTGGAAATATCGAACTTGATTGTGGCTACTTGACATGTTTCCAACACACAGGTTTGTAAAATAAGTAGAAACCATTTAAAGCTTTCACGCCGTTGATTTCCTGTTGGGATGTCATTCATCGTGTCAGTCATTGACTTACAGGTCCGCTGACATTCAAAACACCTTGTCATTTAAAAGAAAACCATAAGTCATCTGTCAGCTGTGGGAAAGCTAGCACGCAGGTACTAGTGCAAATAAAACGCCGGGCAGAACCAGAGAAAAGGGGAATGGAGTGAAAGTCAGATCTGACTCAGTGAAACAGGGGGAACGTTCGGGAGCATGCGGCGATCGACTGCAGCCTTCTGTTTTGTTTGCGTTTTGTAAAACAGCAAAGGCATTGTGTCAGCTGAGCGCGCTTTATAGATGAGGAGGCAAGTCTCGGCTCAATGAGAGAGCGAACACAGCGGATGGTGACCCACCCCTCACCCCGGCCCGTCGCAGTCAGGGGGGGCGGGAGGCCGTGCCCTCAATGCGACAATTCATTCACACTCCAGCATGAAGCCTCCAGCCTCCATTACGCACTCCTCTACAGTTAAAATGGCTCCACACAGGGAACATTTTGTTCATGGAGCAGAGAACCGACGGCTTATTTCCTGCTTTTCCCACTTCTGAGGTAAAACCGAACAGTAAGAGCAGTTTCTGGCAGGATGTCGAAACCTGATTGACGAGTGCTCTGCAAAAATCCTTCCCTTGCGCAATCCGTCTGCAATCGCATGTTTGAGTGTGGAGCATCAGCAAACTTTGAGCTGAAAGCCCAACGATATAAAGCAACCAGCTTTAAACTCAAGTTAGAGAGGCAGAACTGTTATGAAAATTGAAAAGGCAGGCTGCCACTAACGTAGAACTGAACCTCATTCACCTCGCGTTGACTTAGCTCTCCTAAAAGTTCACCGTAAAAAATAATCCTGTAAAAAAAACGGTAAACTACTGGCAGCTACATGGTTGCCAGCATCATACCGTAAAAATACGGCGTGTTACTGTTTTTGTGTTAGAGCATATAGCTGTTAAATTCAAGTTTTATACTCTAGCTGACAATACGGTATTTAGCTGTTAATTTCAAAAACAGTAACACATTGTATTCTTACGGTATGATGCTGGCAACCACAGCTGCCAGTAGTTTACCATTTTTTTTACAGGAATATTTTTTACAGTGTTGAATTGAAATATTTCGTTTTTTCAAAGTATAAAACACCAAAAAAAATAGCAGTACACACTAAATTAACTACTTCTATACTATATATTTTTAGTAATAATATGCATTTTAATGTCACTAATGTGTACAATGATAAACGGGTTGCCCTTTATAATTACTCATAATTTAGCAAAATATAATCATATGTTTCATATATATTTTAGTAAGGCTTTGAACATTCTCATAAAGTTTCAAAATCTCAGGAAATGTAAATATTTGAAGTTACTCAAGCACATATCATATAACATCAAAGATAACTTGCAGCCATATGTTTAGAGACAAATATGGACGTAAAATTACTGTAGATTTGTTTTTGGTCCAAATACTAAACTTTTTTTTTTTTAATGTAACATAATATTATTTTAAGTAATTAACATTCAAGTTGATTGTACTTAAAAATTTAAATCGCATACTATTTAAACTACTTAAAAACAGTATAAACTAATAATAATATATTTTAATAGTGATTTTTTTATAATAACATAGGCCTATAGTTCTTATATAATTTCACCATACACTCTGTTTTAACCCAACTTTGGGTCAAATATGGACAAACCCAGGCATTGGGTTAAATTTTTTAATTACATTTTTAACCCAACGTTTGGATTTGTCCATATTTGACCCAAAGTTGGGTTAAAACAACCCAGCATTTTTAGAGTGTATTGTGTTGTCACTGCTTTTTAAGTAATGTGTAAATGGGTACTACTTTATAATAATTTACCATGTATAACAGCATCATAAAATTATTTTGGAATGTGGAAATATTTTAATTGCTTATTAATAAGGTCTCAAAGAGGCAAAATTCCCACGGAGACACACATACTTGAGGTTACCAAACCACATGCGTGTGTATACATGACATAATATGGAAGTATGTGTAAATTACTAAACAATAAGTCATTGTTTTTGCTTCAAACACTAAATACAAAAGTTGCATGACATAGATTTAGAGGAAAATTCCCATTCACAGAATTGCATGTTCACACGCACACACACACACACAGACACACACGCAATCACACTAACACACGCACACATATTGATGTAAGAAAGGTCAGCTCTTTCATTCTAATGCTCTAATGACAGAGCAGCGTAAATAACAGAGGAAGACAGAGAAACACTTGGTTTCTGAAACACACACACACGCACACTCATTCTGCGGGTTTACGAGCGCCTGAAAATATTTCTTTGTTCCAGTAAGCAATCTTCTTTAAAAAGAGGGGTATGTGAACAAACCCACCTCTATTGATACAAAGAATGTTCAGTGGATTTAGAAACTGACTCAGTGCGGTGTGGGCAGACAGGTGAGAGATTACTGCAGGATTCAGCCCAACTGCTTTCAGCTTTAGCAATTCCTTTTTTCCGTGTTGTTTGGAGGTTAGGACACGTGGAAAGCAAGGGAAACTCAAAGTGAAATGGCAAAGACTGGATTGTGCAGATTGATTGACTATAAGAATTACATTTACATACATATTTTGCATGTAAGAAAATGATAGGCGAATTGTGTACTTACTGCACTATTAGTTAAATAGAGATGCTGTTAAACCAGTTTTCTAAAGACTGACATTGGTCAGTCAAACAAATAGCCCCGCCCAAACTTAT